CTTCCAATTTTTTTAACTGTTTTTCTAATAATTACCTCCATATTTCTGAATAATATGTTTATACTTTGCTTTCTTGATTCATTAATTATTAGATTAGATATCAGTTCTTAAGATAGGATTTACCTCTCAGTTTCATTCTCTTACCATTCTTTTATTGTAATTATATGACAATTTTGGTAAATACTGTTCACTGCTGAGCCACATGTTATATTTCATAATTCCATTTTCTTTCTTGTATAATGTTTGAATTTTTCTATAATCAGTAATTACCTAATTCTTTTTCCATTCCTTTCTTATATTGTCAATTGTATTTTCTAAAAGTCAGTTCTGTTTTTTTTTTTCCCCCTTAAAATCTGCCACCATGGAGCCTTATGTCCTTGTGTGATTATATGAATGACTTGCTCTCCAGCAGGTCCAGAGACCTCGCTTCATCATCTCAAGAATTCACTTTTCATTTTCTCCTATGTTAAATATCTTGTTTCCTGTTTTGCTTCTTCTGTTTTGGCTTTACACCCTAATTTTAGAAGAGAACATTATCCAGTATGAGGTAAAATTGTTGCTACTTTGCCCATCTGAAAATTTATTTTATCCTCATATTTGATTCATGGTTTGGTTGGTTATCTCCTCAAGGTTGGAAACTAGCTTCTAACTTCTAGTGGTACTCTTGAGAAACCAAATGCCATTTTATTTAGTCCTTTGATTAGGATTTTTCTCCCTCTTGAAGACTTTATTTTTGGGGGGGGGCTTTTATTTAGTTATTATTTTATTTTTTCATAGTAAGAACACTTAACATGAGATTTATCCTCTTTACAAACTTTTAAGCATACAGTACAGTATTGTTGCCTATAATGTAGGAAGACTTTAGTATCTCCTTATCTCAAGGGTTCTAACATTTTAGAATAAAGTAACTTTATCTGTATTTGTTCCCTGCATTGCTGGGTGCTCAGTGGGCTCTTTCAATACAGCTTTTTTGATAATTCTTCCCCTCCATTTTATTAGAGATTTTCTGTGAAATGTCTGTATTGATTCTCTAATTTTCTTAGCTTTTCTGTCTAGTTAACCATTTTTTCCTATTTTTTGTTATTTCCTCAGCTCATTTTCTGACTTTCTTACTGAATATTTTATTTCTGCAGTTGTATTTTTAATTTCCAAAACTCTCTTATCCTCTAATTGTCCCTACATCCTCTTCTCATTCATAGGTGTAATATCTTCTCTTAATTTGGAAGAAATCAATTTTATTTTCTGCTCCTTTTATAGTCACTGTTTTCTCCAAGTTTGTTATATTTTAATCTCTGTCATTTGTGTTAGAAATTCATATTCTAGAGTGAATGAAGCACAACAATGCTGCCTGAAAGCTTCAGGTGAACAAGGTGGGCTTATAGACTGGTGAGCTTCACTGCATGTTTGTGTGCCCTTCTAGCTTTTTATTGGAGTATTCCCAGAGAGCAGCATCTGTAAGTCTCTTTTTCTTTGGCCATTCTGTTTCTCCAACAAAGTATCTTCCAGGCTTTCATTAGGAGATATTTTCCTGGCTGTTAAGAGAGCAGGAAACTTTCATTCTATTTTTAATCTGAAGTCTCCCCTCCACCCTGGCTGTGTCTGATATCCAAAGCCCTGTGCCTCTCTGGTTCAATTTCTTCAAATAATAAAAAAAAACTCATCTACTCTAAGTGTGGGAATAAGAACCAGAAGCATCAAACTGTTTTCGTGAAGATTTTCAGCCTACCTCCATATTCCACCCTGTTCTCCATCTACACTTTCTGTAGCACCTGGTGCTTCTGGGTCCTGGACTTTGCCTGCTGTCGTGGCTTGCTTCTCATCCATGTTGCCTCTGTGCCTGGTGTCACCTGCATCTCCACTGCAGTCAGTTATTGCTCCTCCGTTCATTTTCTGTGCTTGTAATTTGTGACTCAGGTTATAGCTATCTTCCAGTTTCACTGAAGATGAGATTTGTGTTTTATTTCTCTTTTTTTCTTTTTCTTGTTCTGGGATGACTTCTGAGAAAAGGATGGAGCAGAAAGATTTCACTTAGGCCATTTTCAAATCAGATAATTACTTATTTTATAATCAGAAGAAAACAGCTGTTTTCATTTCCAGGGGAAATCAAGTTATAGTACTCATTAAGAAATTTAATATGTCCAGAGAGGAGAGGAGGGGAGGATAATGGGCAGGGGGTGGGGGGGAAGGGTCAAGTCAAGGAACAGGGACAGAGGACCCCCATGGACAAAAATAACAGGGAAAGGAGGATTGAATGTGGGAGGTTGGGGGGTGGGTAGGGCAGGGGAGTGTAATGGGGAAAAATGGAGACAACTGTAATTGAACAACAATTAAAAGAAAGTATGGGAAGTAGCAGTTTTAACTAAAAGAAGCGTTAGAATCACTAAAAGATTTTCAAGGAGACTTGGTTATGTTTGAAGGCAGAAATTGAGAGAAAAATTGAAGTAGGCCCTGGTAAAGGTGAGAAATGTTATCAATAATAGAGGTAGAGAGCTTAGCTGTGATATAGAAATAAAGAGAGAAATGACACAATTTAGAGGTAATAAGGAGGCAAGATGGAGCTCACACCCGTTGGAATAAAGTTGGTCATATATCAACTAAACTGCTATTTTAGTAATTTTTTATTAAGTAAAAGCACCAGGTATTTCAAACCTTACGTGATGATTTTCACATTATTGTACTGAGTAAAAAATATGAAATTACATAGTAGTAACAAAAAATATCTGCTTGGGACTTCTTTATTATTTTTTATCTTGAAAAATATATTAAAGTGTAAGCTCTTCAGCAGTAACAAGTGTCTCTTTTAATCAGTATCTTCATTTTCTTTCGCTTCTGCTTATTTATTTTTGTTCAGTTGAATTTAGTCAGTTAACAACTAACGGATACTGTTGAGTACAATTTTGGTATACTTTCTTTCAAAATTAGATTTTAAAATATTTTTCCCATGAACTTGAATGATTGTATGTCCATAAGCTCACTAAATCAAAATAAGTATAATCACTACATGCTATTCAGTGTTCCAAAATGGAATACTTTATATGGCAGGTCTGTGTCATTAGTTCACACTTTTAAGCACATGACATCATATTTGCCACTGCAGATACTTGTTTCAAACACTACCGCTTTAAAAGGATTCAAGTGACTCTAAACATTTACTTGACTCTTGGGATTGTTATGTTCCTCTAACATAATCAGAAAACCATAATCAGAATGTTGAGTGTAATTGATTTTCTTACACACAAAATTCAACTTGAATTTCAAAACATTTGAAATTATACAACCCTTTCCCCCAATTCTGGACTTAAAATCTTTTTCCACCTAAGAATAGTTAAGTAAATTACACCTATGACCAATCATTAGTATTAGTCTTAATAAAAGTCAGTATTTTCCATTGTAAATTTTAGTATATCTAACCAATTTCATGGCAAAGGCATTGCCCTATGGTAACATATCTGCTTGTTTGTCAAAATTATCAAGAAGAATACAAGAATGTGTGTATATATGTGGGAAAATACCAAGTTTTTGTCCAATTCTGTATTTTCCAAAAACTACCTAGATTGATGGTGAAGTTGACCAGTTATTGAAATGAGTTGACAAAACTGCATTGGGGTTCTCTGAATTTTGTCAACTGTTAAAGTCTTAATTGAACATTAAACATGAATCATATCTAAATCATGGATGTATATAGAACATTGCCCATTTCCATAGGTACCTTAAGAGTCATAGATTGCCGAAATGGTGCTTTTTTTTTTTATTAGGTGGCTTACAGTACTTCATAGTTCTTAATAGATTGTCATCAATCCATTTATACTATGTGCCAACCTCCCTTAGTGATATTGGACCAAAAAGTGATATAGAATCCCTGACTTCATGCAGATTACAACCTCATCAAGGTTATTCATTTTGCCTCAAATTGGCCTGATGCCTTGTCCATGAAAGCCTGTGGCACCAAAATGTGGGTAGATGCTAAAATTCACCTGATGCCAAATCCTACCACTCCAGCTCCAAAAATTTCATCATTGACCAAGAACTTGTTCTTAGGAGTTTGCCTCAGCTAGGTTTCTTCAATATATATTGAATCCTTCCCCAACCCAAGGACAGATAAGAAGCTCTACAAAAGGAAACATGCCTGTCCTACTTTGAAAAAGAAAATAACTGTCTTTCTCTGAGAAGATAGACTCCTCAGGCTAAAATTGGTGTTTCTTAAAACCAAGGCCTCTGAATCCTAAGGGAACTGGGAAGTCATAATGGGACTCAGACTTCTTCCTCCTCTTCCTTTCTACCTCTTCTAGTTTCTTCCTTTCTCTCTTTCTTCCTTCTCTCCCTCCTTCTCACCCTACCTCCCTTCCTTCTTTATTGCTTGTAATTTTCAGCACTTTAAAACTTCAGTGGGCATTTTACATTTCCCCATGGAAAGGATAGCTAAAAAAAATATTTTGGAGTTGGTGCTAGAATTTGATAACCTGGTTATCTTAGAGTGATCTAAAACATATGATGGCTCTTATTTGTGTCTTTTGTAAGTAAAAATTGGGAACTCTACTCCTCCAAAAAAAAACCCTACATTGGGAATGCTTCTGTGGCATTTGTACTGTTCAGTGGTGATTATTTAATAAATTCTTAATAGCTTTATAACTTAAAACTGTTAATATTTTCAATCAATAGGAATAAAAAATAAGAGGAGGGACGTGAAGGAACTATTTATGGTAGTGACCTTTAAACACCAGTTTATAGATTTCTCACTGTCTCTTACAGTGAATCACTGGTCTGCTGTGAAATAAAAAAAGAAAAAAGGGGGAAAAGATATTGGCTTAAGATGTACCTCAACACGAAATTATTCACATTTTGAGCATATACTTTGGCTAATAGAGGAAGCTTGGTTGTTTAAGTACTCCATCTTTTTCATGTACTAATTACAGTTTTTCATCTTGTGTCTAATTGAGGCTCAATATGTAAACTATATGATGTGAATAACAAATGATTAAGGATTTTTTTTTCTTCCTTAGGTACATGAAAGTGCCCAGAAGAAACTTCCTTCCAGAAAAACTGAAAAAGCAGTATTTATAACACTAGAATTTTTGGATAATTTATTAAAATGGCAGAAAATAGTGAAAGTAATAGTAAAAATTTAGATGTCAGACCCAAAACTAGTCGGAGTAGAAGTGCTGACAGAAAGGACGGTTATGTGTGGAGTGGAAAGAAATTATCTTGGTCAAAAAAGAGTGAAAGTTGTTCAGATGCTGAAACAGTAAATGCTCTAGAAAAAACTGAAGTTCCTTTACGGAGCCAAGAAAGAAAGCACAGCTGTTCGTCCATCGAGTTGGATTTAGATCATTCCTGTGGGCATAGATTTTTAGGCCGATCTCTTAAACAGAAACTGCAAGATGCTGTGGGGCAGTGTTTTCCAATAAAGAACTGTAGTAGTCGGCACTCTTCAGGGCTTCCATCTAAAAGAAAAATTCATATCAGTGAACTCATGTTAGATAAGTGTCCTTTCCCACCTCGATCAGATTTAGCCTTTAGGTGGCATTTTATTAAACGACACACTGCTCCTATTAATCCCAAATCAGATGAATTGGTAAGCACAGACTTGTCTCAGAGTGAAATGAGGGATGGTCAGCTACAACAAAGGAGAGACATGGAAGAACAGGTGAACTGTTTTTCACATCCCGATGTTCAGCCCTGTGTCATCACCACCAACAATGCTTCATGTAGAGGTGGTCTTATGACTGACTCTGTGATGAACCTGATTTCAAACAACAGTATAGAAGATAGCGATATGGATTCAGATGATGAAATTATAACACTTTGCACAAGTTCCAGAAAAAGAAACAAACCCAAATGGGAGATGGATGAAGAAATCCTGCAATTGGAAACAACTCCTAAGTACCACACCCAGATTGACTATGTCCACTGTCTTGTACCAGACCTTCTTCAGATCAATAACAATCCATGTTACTGGGGAGTTATGGATAAATATGCAGCTGAAGCTCTACTAGAAGGAAAACCAGAGGGTACTTTTTTACTTCGAGACTCTGCACAGGAAGACTATTTATTTTCTGTTAGTTTTAGGCGTTACAGTCGTTCTCTTCATGCTAGAATTGAACAGTGGAATCACAACTTTAGTTTTGATGCACATGATCCTTGTGTCTTCCAGTCTCCTGACATTACTGGGCTCCTAGAACATTATAAGGACCCAAGTGCCTGTATGTTCTTTGAACCACTTTTATCCACTCCTTTAATTCGGACTTTCCCCTTTTCCCTGCAGCATATATGCAGAACAGTTATTTGTAACTGTACAACTTACGATGGCATTGATGCCCTTCCAATTCCTTCTTCTATGAAATTATATCTGAAGGAATATCACTATAAATCAAAAGTTAGAGTACTCAGGATTGGTGCATCAGAACAACAATGTTAGGTAAAGAGTAGGAACATGGGAATTTAAATATTTTATTTTTCTTAATGCTACTTTGAATTTTTCTACAAGGGCAGTTAGAATCCAGAATAAACCTCTGCCCTAAATTTTGCTTCCAGATCAGTTTATTTTTCTTATGATACACTAATTGTTAAAGGTTACACACTAAGGTTTACTGGATATTTTTTGACCAGGTGTTTGGTTTTTGTTTTTATCATACAGAGTGTATACTTAATTTTTTTTCTTTTCATTATAATTTGCATATGATCCAGAGATATTTGAAATTTTGTAGGCATTGTAAAGACAGTTAAAAATCTGTACTTCATGATTTCCTTTAAAAATAATCCTGTGTCCTTTCCTACATGTAAAATGCTTTGTTAACCTATGCTTTTGGCATTGCTATACATAAAATACGGTTTCCTCATCCCCCTTTTCAGAGTTGTTTTAAAATTCTTCAGTAAAGCTAAGTATTGTAATTCACAATCCATATTAATGTAATTGACTTCAGTAATTTACTAATAGGGATGTTAAAGTTAACAAAAAGGCTTAAAATCAAATTTGATATGTTTTTATATAAAATATTAACTATAAAGCAGGATTACTAAATTTGATCAGTAACAACTAAATGAGAACATGATGTTTTTGGAGGTGAATTTATTATTCTACAGTATGGCATGGTCTTTTGTTATGAATAGAACTCTTGAAACCTGGAAGAGTTACCATCTTCAGAACCTAAATATCGTTCCTTTCTCACTGGGAGCTTTAAAAATAATGATAATACTGTTAGCAATTAGTAGTTACTAAAGCAATTGTGCGGTTTTTCTGTATTTACTAATGAACTGTTGCTCCTACTTAGCTCTTGTATAGAAACTGTAAGCCTGTTATTTGAGGAAATGCCGCATTTCATAAGTAGCCACAAATTTTCATTGATCCCTATGTAGTTTTTCATCATTTTAAATTGAGTTTGAGTAAATCTTCAAAAGTAAACATAGAGCTTGATATTTAGAAAGCTTAATATTGTTTTTAACCTTCAGGTTTCAAGTGATATTTCTTATTTTCAGAGTTAACATGTCTTTATGGTGGCTTCAAAAAGAGGAAAACATTTTGAGAGCTACATGACTTATGCCATACTGAACAGTACTGGGCAACAGGTTTAATATTTTAAATTTACTATCCCAAGAACACGAAAGCATTTTTAGAAACATAATTATTTCAGTATAAGATAAATGGAGTGATATTCTATTCATCCCCTTTCTAAAAGAATGAATAATGAATTTACTAAATAGTTGTTTCCTCTGATGAGCTGTTAACCACTTTGCAAATTATCATTTTTAATATCATAGTAATTAATTTCTTGATGCTAGTTTAGCTCTAGTGGGAAACTGATTCTACCTGGGTTGAAAGAAATTTGACTCAAAATTCCAAGTTAGAACAGACATTTCTCAAGTATCATTGCTTTTATGTTGAAGTGTAGCATTTATTTCTCTTTAGGGCAGGTCTGCTGCTAATATAAAGATGCCATTTTTTTCAATAATAGTGTTAAAATAAATTTTTAGCAATTATCACAAAATTAAACCAAGAAAATCTGTTCCCATTATCTTCTAGCATTTTTTTTTCTCAGTGATCTCAAGGTTGTCTTGGTTCCAATGAAAGGTAGCTCCTAGAATAGTACCTCTCTTAGCAGTGATGAGGCTTGGAATCTCAAAACCAATGTCAGGATAAATATCTCTTCTAAAGATATTTCCCTTTTACAAAAGAAAAGTCTACTACTACCTCATCTTTATTTAAGGCACTTTTGTAGATCACTGAGAAGCTTATCTTACTTACCAATATAACACTTCCTAAATACTCATCTTTGATGAAAGAAAATTAATAGTATGGTAAGACTACCCATGGTTATACTTTTTTTATCAGAATTTGATAATGAGACTTTCTGTTTCTATGAAACAATTATTTTAAATATTTTTCTTTAAAAATAACTTTTTATTGGTACAGAAAAACCTAAGGGATGACAAACTAACAATATTCTGTTAAAAGGTAATTTTATAAAGAAAAATGAAGCATAATTATGTTGTCTTTTATAATGGTAAAAATTGGTATTTATATAAAAATCAAGATCTAAGTAGCTTTTCATATAGTCAAACTGGTTGTGGTATATTTTCTCTGGCTTTCTTATTTTCTCAACCTCAAGGTATTAATAGCTGTTAACATTTTCAAAATACTGCCACATATATAGCCTTGAAGTAGATGATCTAATAAATGAGAGCAGGAATAGAATCATTTAGTCTGAAATGGTTTGTATTTTTCCTTTGGTATTTGCTATAATAAAAAGAAATCTGGAAAGTAGAAATATAAAGACTTGAGAGGGAAGTTGTTTATCATGAAGGAAAAAGAAAAGTAACATTTTTTTTAAAGCATTAAGATCAAAATTTAGAGAAGTTAATCCCTTTCTTGGTCACTTTGTGAGGACATATTTGGAAGAACATCCAATATTCAGAAACTAATTGATTTATTTAAAATATAATTATGGAATATATGAATAAAATGAGTAAGTTTTGAGAGGGACAATGTGGGAAGATACCAATATATCTAAATATAAAACTTTGTAACTCTTAAGACATTATGATAATTTGAAAAGTAAATTTTGGAGTTGAGAAAGCATTCAGCATGGTAGAACTGCATAGAGCTTGTTGGTAAGAGGATGAGTCTGAAAGAAACAAGATAAAATATTAAAATTAAGGATTTAGGCTTTACCTCAGGGAAAAGCCTTGACAGTGAAAGGGAACTACTTAATCGCTAATAGCCTAGTCTGGACCAGACATTTAACTGTGCTTTGGGAATCATCCTGCACTAAACAGGAAGTAAACTTGACTTTTCTATTTCTCTTGAAGCTTTTCAGGACATTAACTCCCCCCTGCCCCCATTTTTATAAGCTACAGCATCTTGGTTCATCCTGTAATTCCTAAAATATGCTGATAGACTTTTTTTAGGTTTCTTGAGCATTTTTGTATAAAGAATCATGTATGATCTTTCTATAATCATGCCATTCACTTAAATAATTCATAAAGGGAATGGTTTAATTTAAAGGAAGACCTAATAGGAAGAAGATTAAAGGAAGCTTTTAGTCAGCCTCTGACTAGATTTATTGATTTGGTGATCAGACCTGTGTTCTTTCCTGAATTTCAGCTGATGGCAAATTGTGGTCAAAGAATGGCTTTCAGTTAGTTTCAACTTCTTTTATAAATAATAATACAAAGAATATCTTAGAGATTAGAAATCCTTTAAAAAGTAGAGCAAATGTGGCAATTAGGACTCATCGTTATACAAATTTCATTTCTTTTTATGAGAAAAACACAAACCATTATCATTTATTCATGAGCCAAGTCCATTAAGAAGATAAATCAAGTTATCAGCTTCCTGTCTCTGAAGTTTGGATCATTTTATAGATCCACATAATAGAGAGCTTCCTTCCTATGAAACAAAAAACCTTGAGACCTAACTCATGAATATATGCTTTGTTTTCATTTAAAACACTTTTTGTCACTTTTAGCTATAATTAGTCAAATCAGTTACGTATTGATTTTGGTAGAGCAAATTGCATAGGAAAGTACACTTAGCAATAGTTGTAAGATGCCTGGAGACAACACAAGGGAAACAATGCTGAAATTTAAAATATCCTGTGTTTTAGGCAATTTAATGCTCAAATCAATATATAATTTTAAGTCAAGCAGATTGTTTCTAGTTTGGAAAAAAATCTTTACAGTTTCGGTTTTAATCCGTTTTACATTCATTTTTAATTTCTAAAGAACAGAAAGCACAAAGCTTTTTCTTTTTTAATGGCCTACTAGAAATGAGCAACACTGCAAGATTGTCTTTACTATTCTAATACACTATGTTGAACACAAAATGGAAGTAACTTTTTGAAATGCATTAATTTCTAAGAAATGTAGACCAATGAATATAACCCACTGGAAAGGTATTTGGGCCATGTGAATCTTATTTCAAATAAAGCCAGAGTCTTTTATTTACTTTTTAATTTTAAATAGGTTACTCAATCCTAAATCTTTGCCTTAACTTCCTTGCATATAAAATGTAGATAATAATAGTTGTCACTTGACTTCTGAAGGTTAATTCTTCAGTTAAGAGGTCACCCTTGGAACATACTTGAAAATAATTTCTGTACAACGGTTTAGTGCTAATGTGATAATAGGTTTTCAAGGTATCCCCTTTGTGGACCCTCCAGATTCACATTCACTTCTTTTAGTCTGTAAAATACAACAGTAGAGATAACTACAACCTGAATTTATGGTTTAGACTTTGCAATTAGATGAGTTGTGATTTCCTGCTCTTAATAAGGTTTATGTGAAATTGATGTTCGTCTAAGTTATTTTAAAAGTTGATTACATTTGCAGGAAGTAAAGATACAGGCATACTCCATTTTATTGTGCTTCACTTTATTACACTTCACAGATAGGTGGTGTTTTTTTTTCATTAAAGGTTTGTGGCAGTCCTATGCCATGCTAGTCTATTGGCGCCTTTTTTCTAATAGCATTTGCTTACTTCGTGTCTCTGCATCACATCTTGGTAATTCAATATTTCAAACTTTCATTATTATATTTGTTATGATCTGTGATCAGTGACCTTTGTCAAGGTTCAGCTGATGGTTAGCATTTTTTAGCAATAAAATATTTTTTAATTAAGGTATATACTTTTTAGACCTAATGCTACTGCACAGTTAATACGGTATAGCGTAAATATAACTTAAATGACTGGGAACCCCAAAAATTCCTGTGACTTGACTTATTTCGATATTTATTTTAGTGGTCTGGAGTTGAACTTACAATATTGCCAAGGTATGCCTGTAATCATTTTGCAGTGGTTATAATCAAATCTTAGCTTTCAAACTGGAGAGGGTGTAAAACTCAAGGAAGTTTACTTAAATTATGCTAATTTTGCTAGAATTGGATAAATTCTGTATGAACTAAGTGTGAACTTGATGTGTACTTCAATATACAGAGTTTAAGTAGTAAATTCAGAAAGCTAATAGTACCCTTGTCAATCAGGCTTCTACTATCCACCCCTTACCCAAAAAAGAAGACAATTGCCATTTTTATTTCCGATCCTGAAGTCGATAGTTTGTTCTTGGATGTGAGTTCAAATAAATTGATCTGAATAAATTTTCGTTTCTTCTTAATTAAAACTTCATATGTAAAATCCAAAGCCTTTGTATTTTGTTTTAAAAAACGTATGTCCTTAACTCACACATTAAACTTACAATCTGAAAGAAAATTTTAAATCTATATTCTTACACATTTTCTAATTTATAATACATTCCTTTTAGTTTTTAGTGTATCAGTTTGGGTCTTCCAGAAATGGATGTCAAGATGTGATTACATGTGCAAGAGATTTATTGGAGTGCGGGGAATATCTATGCCAGATAGCCAGATAAAGGTGAAGGTAGCAGAAGGTGAAGTTTGCATACCATAGTGCAGGTCTGACATTTGGGAAAGAAAGGGAAGGATTGGATTGTGTGGGCTTCAGACTTCAGTGCAGTTCTGAAAAAGCTAGAGGGCAGTTTTGTTTCCAAAGGTTTCCTGTAAGGGCCCACGTGGGACAGGAATGCCCTAGGGCTGGAATTCCCATCATGCTCAGTTACTGGCTGAGAGCATGGGAGAAGCTGGAAGGGGGAAGCTGTCGGTAACAACCAGGATCAGGATTAGGGTGATGTGAGGCACACACGATGGGCACAAAGTTGATTTTTGACCAAAAAATTCAATAATGAAAGTATTTTGGTGCAACATTTTAAAGTCAAAGTGCAAAAAAAGTAATTTTAAATAATGATAACGCTTTGACTGTATTACTGACTCAGGCTTCCTATGGCTCCACAAGACACTGCTGGACCACTGGCTCCTGTGAAGGCACGTTAAATAATTCACACTAGTGGTATCATTTTTCATAGACAACTGTCATCCAAAAATCTGCCTTCTCCAAACTTAGGTATTTGAGGTTCCTCTATTTTTTACTTTTTCATTTTTAATTTTTCGTTATGGGAAATAATGTGCCATGAGTCGCATACTAAGAGTTTTCGTATAAGTTTATAACGTTCATTGACCTAATAGCTAACACAAGCAGAATGTTACAAGAATATTGCATGCTTTTACATATAAAATATATACCTATTTGTATATATTTTGCACACCATATAATTATGGTATATTACTAG